CATTGTTGGTGTCAGTGGGAGGAATAGTTCCCTATCATTGGTGTCAGTGGGAGGAATAAAACTCCATCATTGGTGTCAATGTTAGGAATAGTGCCCAGTCATTAGTGTTAGTGGGAGGAATACAGCTCCGTCATTGGTGTCAGTGGGAAGAATAGTGCCACATTGTTGGTGTCAGTGGGAGGAATAGTGCCCCATTGTTGGTGTCAGTGGAAGGAATAGTGCCCTATCATTGGTGTCAGTGAGAAGAATAGTGCCCTATCATTTATGTTAGTGGGAGGAAAAGTGCCTCATTGTTGGTGTCAATGAGAGGGAATTATTTATTATTTATTTATTTATCGAGTTTATATAGCGCCAAAGGGTTTGCTCAGCGCTGTACAATAGAGGGGGGACAATACATGAAACAGTACAGTAACATCAAACAGCACACAAGGGGTAAGAGGGCCCTACTCTTTCGAGCTTACAATCTAGGAGGGAGGGGGTAGAGGTACAGGAGGAAATGGCTGTGGGGGATGGAGTGGAAGGAGGAGGGAAGGGCAGCGGCTGTTAGGTGAGGGTGGGGTAGGCTTCCCTGAAGAGGTGGGTTTTTTCAGGGAGCGCCTGAAGGTGAGGAGGGAAGGTGACAGTCTGATGGGGTTGGGGTAGTGAGTTCCAGAGGATGGGGGAGGACCTGGAGAAGTCTTGCAGTCGTGCGTGGGAGGAGGAGACCAGGGAGCAAGATAGAAGGAGGTCCTGTGAAGAGCGAAGGGTACGGGTAGGGTGGTATCTGGGAATCAGGTCGGTGAGGTAGTTAGGGGCAGTGTTGTGAATGGCTTTATAGGTCAGAGTGAGCAGTTTGAATTTAATGCGTTGGGCAATGGGGAGCCAGTGGAGGGAGAGGCAGAGGGGGGTGGCAGAGGTGGAGCGGGTGGTGAGGTGGATGAGTCTGGCAGCTGAGTTCAGGATGGTCTGAAGCGGGGTGAGTTTGCACTGGGGTAGGCCGGTGAGGAGGGAGTTGCAGTAGTCAAGGCGTGAGATAATCAGGGAGTGAACGAGTAGTTTAGTGGTGTCTGGGGTAAGGAAGGAGCGTATCTTGGAGATGTTCCGGAGGTGGAGCCTGCATGAGTTTGTGAGAGATTTGATATGAGGTTGAAAGGAAAGGTTTGAGTCCAGAATGACGCCAAGGACCTTGGCTTGCGGGGCGGATTGATGGTGGTGTTGTTGGTAGTGATGGAAAGGATGGGGGGGGGGGCACGGGAAGGGGGAAAGACGAGAAGCTCGGTTTTGGAGAGGTTGAGTTTGAGGAAATGGAGCGACATCCAGTCAGAGATGTCGTTTAGGAGGTGAGTGATGCGGGCGGAGAGAATGTGGGGGTGAGGTGAGGGGTGGATATAGTGCCTGGTTGCTGATGTCAGTAGCAGGAATTATGCCCCATTGTTGGTGTCAGTGGTAGAAATAGTGTCTTGTATCAGTGGGAGGAAAAGTGCCGCAGGGGCCAGATAAAAGCAAGCAAAGGGCCGCATCTGGTTCCCAGGCCGCAGTTTGGAGACCACTGTTCTAGACTAACACTCCATGTTAGGAGCGTAAATTTTGTTACTGTTTTTGGTTTAAAACGGCGGTTTTACGGTAGTTCAGGATATTCTTAATTATTACACACCATGTTCAACCTAACTCACTGTATAGCGGTAAAGAGATGAGAGAACAGTCCACTGACAATTCCACCACACAGCCAAGCTCCTTTAGACAGGAAACCGTTCCACCTCTATACCTCCATTTCTTGGAAGGTATATGATGACTTTTTCTTCTAGAATATACATTGTTTGTGTCACTGTCTACTGATCTGTTTATATGTATCTTCTTAAAAACTTGAATAACATCCTTGAAAACAATGAACATCTAAATGATTCAGAGAAGGATTGAGAGAAAGTGCTGTGGTCAGATGAGACCAAAATTGAACTCTTTGACATTAACCCGACTCGCTGTGTTTGGAGGAAGAAAAATGCTGACTATGACCCTAAGAACATCATCCCTACAGTCAAGCACAGAGGTGGAAACATTATGCTTTGGGGCTGTTTTTCTGCTAAAGTTACAGGACGACTTTGCCGCATTAAGGGGCCAATGATTGGGGCCATGTTCTGTAAAATCTTGGATGACAACCTTCTTTCCTCAGCCTGAACACTGAAGATGGGTCATGGATGGGTTTTCCAGCATGACAATGACCCAAAACAAAGGAGTGGCCCAAGAAGAAGCGCATTAAGGCCATGGAGTGGCCTAGCCAGTCTCCAGACCTTAAACCTATAGAAAATATATAGAGGGAGCTGAAACTTTGAGTTGCCAAGCGACAGCCAAGAAACCTTAAGGATTTAGAGAATATCTGTAAAGAAGAGTGGACCAAAAATGAATCCTGAGATGTGTACAAACCTGTTAACCAACTACAAAAAGGGCCCTGCTCTTTTGAGCTTACAATCTAGGAGTAGGGGTTTATCATACATTTATTCTAAAACACATGTGGTATAGGTGCAAAGACTAGTATTCTGCTGTAATACACTATCCTATATAAAAATAAAAAATAGTCCTGTAAGACAACAGTAATAGGATTCTTGGTTAAGAAGGTCAGTAAAATTTGGCATGCTGATATCGTGTCATTATAGGCTCAAAGAGAAAAGTCTTTTTGTAAATTCCAAAACACTGATGGCAGCCTCAACACCCCCAATATGATATACAGCATTATTAGAAAGATAGTTGAACCTGAAATTAACAGAATATTATTCTTAGAAATAGAGTAACCAAAAGTGAAAAAGCTAGTTAGAATGTACTGTGTGATTATATTATAGTGGCAATAACCAGTTCTTTGAGACCTCCTGGTGAAAGGGTATCATGGGTAAATATCCAAAAAGTTTTTCTGGCACATAATTTTTGGAAGCACTCAGCTTCAGAGAATGTAAATCAACCATAGAATGTAGTCCTATGGTTGATTTATGGTGGTAGTCTGAAAAGTGGCGAGGAACGCTGTGCTTGTCCTTTCCCTCCTCCATCAAGCTTCTGTGTTCTCTCAACCTTTTTCTCAGTGGTTGGATAGTCCTGCCTACATAAATTTTCCACAAGGGCATGATAAACAATAGACTACAAAGTCTGAGGACCAATTATAGAAATTGTTCAGTTGGTATGTTTTACCTTTGGTGGAAAATTCTTTTTTGCCGTGTGGAACAAACTGACAAGTCTCACACTGGACTCTTTTACATTGGTACATATCAGATAATGGAATAAGACAATTTTTATGTAGGCAGGACTGTTTATATTCTGTTTTTGGGAGAGTGAGGAAATTATTTGGTGTGTTTTTACAGTAATATTTTAGCTTTGTAAAGCTATCCTACTGCTTTATATGAATCCAGCAAAAATTAGCTTTTTATTTTTTTTTTTTTTATTTATGACCACTAATCTTTGGTGTCCTATCTGTTCATAGTGGTGTGCAGAGCTTTCGCTTCATCCAGTGTCCTGCTGCCAAAAGCCAAGTGAAGGTGAAAGGAAGGGAGGAACTGTATGTGGATGCCCAGACTGAATGGAACCAAAACTCTTTGAACAATGTATTGCATGCTCAACTGAAGGACTCTCCGATATGTTGGAGTGGAGTGGATACCTAAAGAGGCAGTACTGCTTCTCGGTCCCGACAACATTTGAAGGATCAAACGTTCAATGTCTCTTGGCTGAATTTAGTAGAAAAAGTTCTCAACAGCGACCCATCCCCAGTGTCGGATTTATAAGGGAGCAAAAGGGGCAACTGCCCTTGGCCCCTTTGACAGAAGGGGCCCCCCTCTATGCAAAAAAAAACAACAATAGAAAAATGTATGTAAAATAATAAAAAATAATAAAGATAAAATAAAATAATATAAAATATATTATTAAAAAAAATTACATTCTTTTATTAATGTATCTTGGGAAGTAATACTTTGCCTGCCATCATCTGTAAACATTTTTACTCTCGGCTGGTATATCGTATTGTCTTTAAAAATTAATTTTGGCAGCTCAAGTGAACCACACCTAGAGAGCTTATGCTCCCAAAGGTGGCCTGTGACTGTTTGTGTATGTGCACACGTGAACTCAGAATGATGCTCTGTCATGCATTTTGAAAATGTGTGACTGTCATTGAGATTGTAAACAACTCTGTGTATGTGGGGCCCCCTTGAACCTGAAGTGCCCTGGGCTCCCCACAGACTAAACCTGCTGGTAGGCAGCTGTTTATTGCAGAAAATGCTAGCAGCAGCACTGTCTCTGGTTTCAGAAGGCTGATCCACTGACCTGAGACAAACTAGCTTCAGGGTGGTCTTAGATTTGAGTTGAAATTTCTGATCTGAATACTTACACTATATTGCCAAAAGTATTGGGACGCCTGCGTTTACACGCACATGAACTTTAATGGCATCCCCGTCTTAGTATGTAGGGTTCAATATTGAGTTGGCCCACCCTTTGCGGGTAGAACTCTTCTTGAAAGCTGTCTACAAGGTTTAGGAGTGTGTCTATGGGAATGTTTGACCATTCTTCCAGAAGCAAATTTGTAAGGTCAGGCACTGATGTCAGTTGAGAAGGCCTGGCTTGAAGTCTCCGCTCTAATTCATCCCAAAAGTGTTCTATCGGGTTGAGTTCAGGACTCTGTGCAGGCCAGTCAAGTTCCTCCACCCCAAACTTGCTCATCCATGTCTTTATAGACCTTGCTTTGTGCACTGGTACGCAGTCATGTTGGAGCAAAAAGGGGCCATCTCCAAACTGTTCCCACAAAGTTGGGAGCATGAAATTGTCCAAAATGTCTTGGTATGCTGAGGCATTAAGAGTTCCCTCCACTGGAACTAAGCCCAACCCCTGAAAAACAACCCCACACCATAATCCCCCCCCTCCAACAATCTTTACAGTAGGCACAATGCAGTCAGAGAAGTACCATTCTCCTGGCAACCAGCAAACCCAGACACATCCATTGGATTGCCAGACAGAGAAGTGTGACTTGTCACTCCAGAGAACACATCTCCACTGCTCTAGAGTCCAGTGGAGGCGTGCTTTACACCACTACATTCAACACTTTGCATTACACTTGGTGATGTAAGGCTTGTATGCAGCTGCTCGGCCATGGAAATCCATTTCGTGAAGTTCTACATATGTTGTTGTGCTAATCTGAAGGCCACATGAAGTTTGGAGGTCTTTAGCTATTGACTCTACAGACATTTGGCGACTTCTGCTCACTGTGCGCATCAGCATGCACTGACCCCGCTCTGTCATTTTATGTGGCCTATCACTTTGTGGCTGAGTTGCTTTTGTTCCCAGTAGCTTTTACTTTCTTATAATACCACTAATGTGCAATATTTAGTAGCAAGGAAATTTCACAGATGGACTTGTTGCACAGGTGACAACCTATCACGGTACCACGTTTGAATTCACTGAGCTCCTGAGAGCGACCTATTCTTTCACAAATGTTTGTAGAAACAATCTGCATGCCTAGGTTCTTGATGCTATACACCTGTGGCCATGGAGGTGATTGGAACACCTGAATCCAGTGATTTGGAGGGGTGTCCCAATACTTTTGGCAATATAGTGTATCTGGTACTACAGATACTGTAATAGATTAGAATGGCAAGCAATTAATATTTTCAGGAAGAAAGGTTAATAATGGCAGCTTATGTTATATATGTATAATATACAGTATTGCCACACTTCCAGTCTACTAAATGGGCAATGAATATCCCAATCTAATGATGTCAACACTCGCTCCTCCTATCACTAAGCCTCCAGTGTTAGACAGAGAACATTGTTTGCTGCAGTATAATCTGACTGGAACCGCCTTCACTCTAAGTCTACAGGATTCTGCTGTGCAAGGGTTTAAATTGTTACTAAACCCACAACAGTAAAATCATTCTGTATATGCAGTAAAGCATGCTTGTTATACCCACTGTGGAATGTAAGGGATTAATCCTTCACATTGTGTAAAAAGGCAGTGTGATCCTGTCTTCTCTGATCCTCTCCTTCTACTGTCCCCAATCCATCTGCTCATAGTACAGAGCTATAGGAGTCACTCTGCACATGCTCAGTTTAGTCTATTGCTAGAGAGTTTTTTTTTTCTTTGGGACTGCACATGTATTCTGCACAGGGCCAATCAGCACTGTCAAGACAGAGTCAGGGGGTTATGTAGCCTTATAGGACTGTCAGAGGAGAACGAAAACTCCTTCTACAAGATTAAACAGTTCTCAGCTGGACACTGATATAAGTCATAAGCCTGCTATATACTGCTAATGAGAAAAGGTATTTAGCAGTTTATATTTACTACAATAATTGCATTTCCATGTTCTGTGTACTGTGGGAGACCAGATAGAGTGAATGCAGGGTCATGAGTTTAGTAACATTTTAAAGGAAGCTAATCTATAAAATATATAGTTAGATACTCCTAAACCATATTTTAAAATATATTATAGGATTTTTAAGTTAATGCATTTATCTGGGATTAATAGTGGTCTCCAATTTACAGACAGCTCAGTAAAATACTTCTTTAAAAAACAAATTGCATTAAGATTAGTAGCAAATTCAGAATTCTGATAATACTGAGCTTTAACAAAACTGTGCCTGTCATCTGACAGCATTTGCTTGTTCGCCTAAAGATCTCCTACATAAAATATGCTATATGCTGACTACAGGAGCAGTGCAGATGTAATCACATTCATTTGAGGCTTTGTTTCATAATTCAATTCAATACGTAGCACTGCATGAAAGAAAGAATCTTTGTACCTTGCCGGAGTACAAACAGACTGACTAAAGGACTGTTTGTGCGTTGTGCAATGATGAAATACCACAAATTGCTTTGAGCCTCTCGCTCCTTCCAGATCCGCATTATAAATTCTTAAAGATTAATTAGTAGTTGGTAAGTGTATCTCAATTAGATCTGACACAGGTTTGTTATGGAAATATATATCTTTTTTTCTGTATAATTAATATATGTTAATAGGCATCTGGAGGCAAAATCACTTATAGCTGCATTTTATTTCATCCTACATTTTGTCAAATTTACAGTGGATTTCCAAGACACAATAAGAATTTAGAGGTCCCTTTTATTTAAAGTGCTAGAGAAGATCATCAAAAAATGTAGCACTGTATTTTATTTTGATCAAGAGACTTACTTGAAGTAGCTGTGTTCTAAAACCCAATTTGTGCCAACGGACTTATTGAATGCTAACCATAAATGAGCTACAAATAACATGATCTATATTATTGATATCAAATATGGATAACTGATACATACTCAAACTGGGACTATAAAATTAATAAAATTCCCCATACATGTACACCCTGCTTACACCTTCACCATCCTCATCCTCATGTTTTTGTTGTTGACATTGAGGGTACTTGTGATGGTAGGGAAAGTTGGCTTTGGTTTTTAAAAAGGAACATGTGAAGAGGAAATATATCACCTATGACTGCTGACCTCTTCCTGACTGTCGTGATGAATCAGTGGTTTCAATGTGTGATGAGTTACTTGTTAGTATGGATTTTAAGAGTTGTGATTTACTGTTTTGGAATCTGCATGCTTGTTCTGGGTCAGTTAAAGAGAAAGTATTAAAGCCACAGAGAGCAATATTATGGGGGAGATTTACTAATACTGGTGCATAAATAATCTGGTACAGCTCTGCATCCTAACCAGTCAGCTACTACCTTCAGCTTGTTCATTTAAGCTTTGGCAATAAAACCTGGAAGCTGAATGGTTACTATGCACATCTGTACCAAAATTTATGTGTACCAGTTTTAGTAAATCTCACCCTATATGTCTTTTAGTATTGTTTTTCGTTAAAAATGGTTTACAGCAAATCTCTTAGAATGTTACCAATCAAGGAATCCCTACAATTTTTGGACTACTGTAGATATCTCTAATTACAACAAAATATCCACTCACTCCTGAAACCACTATACTATACTCTATATACAAAAACGTAACCTAATGGATGACTTATTATATATTTCAAAATCTCCTTCATGCTGAATTTTACAACTCTGTAAAATGCTTCTCAATTTGAATACTCTGATTATCCCACATACATCACTCCATCTCTTGCTAACTGAAGATTGGCAAAATACAATTTTACAACTTACTTACATTTCTTCCCTGGGCACTAAAATAGTGGAAAAACATTACAAACTGTTCTCTTAATGGTAACTTAACCCATCCAAACTTCACTCAATATCTTCCACAATATTACCCCAATGCTGGAGGGACTGCACCAAATGAGGAACCTTTGCCCACATATGGTGTCAGTGCTCAAAGATACAAGCCTATTATCCATCACCAGACATAATTATGAAATTCAGGGATTTAGCCTTCCTTTCAACCCCTGGTTCAGTTCATTTTAGTGAGTAGGCCTTCCAGGAAGCCAATGTAAGTGAATAGTTAAGCTAGCCATAAATGGTTCCATTTTTTTCTTTCATCCATCAATTTCTCATGAAAAGGAGTGGCTATACATGGATTGAAATTTGCCCTGTTCCTGTTGAACCAGCTGAATTTTTATTCATGTATGTCCAGCTTTACATCTCATTTATATAAAGTGATATTAAATGCATATTTTTTTTAAATAACAAACATATTATACTTACCTGCTCTGTGCAGTAGTTTTACACAGAGTAGCCCCAAGCCTCCTCTACTTGAGTCCCCTGCTGGTGCTCCTGACCCCTCCCTCCTGCCTAATGCCCCCATAGCAACCAGCTTGCTATATGGGCACCCGAATAAGCCCACTCCCAAGTCACTGCTCTGTCTGTCCATTCAGACAGGGAGCATGGCTCAGTCCTGCCCCTTGCTCTCTCCCCATTAGCTGGCTGTGTTTGAGATCAGACTAAGGTAAGTATTAGGGAGGCTGCTGCACACAGAAAGTTTTTTTACCTTCATGAAGGTAAACAACCTTGAGCCTTTACAACCACTTTAACACTTTGCAGTTTCTCATCCTATTTTATTGGAAACTGTCCAATAACCTTCCACCTAAACTGTGGCTACAAAAGGTTGATCAAAGAAGACTAATAGAAGAATTAACGCCTAATGCTCACAACACCCACACGACAAATTTAGCAAGATATGGGCTTGCTGGAAAGCCTACATATCTGCTCCAAATTATTTAGATACAATGGGGGAACCTTAACTTTCCCTAGGAGAAATACCACCTTCTCTTCCACCACCCAACACTCAACTGTATTTGATGTTGCTTTATAATTTTCAAATCTAGTTTTCCCACAGTCCTTCACCTAATACTCTTGAAATTAACCAAGCCCTTCCTCTTTCTGCTTGAAATTTAATACAAGCAGGTTCCTTATACCTTTCCCTTATGTGCCTATACCCTAGTCCTTTGTGTATTGGTTACTTTCATTCTATCAATTTTTGTGTAGTGCCCTTTACTGTAGCTAGTTATTTAATGTAGCTAGAGGCTTGCTAGAAGCCTGGGTGATAGATTGCTTCAGGTCAGCCTGGAGGGCTCTACAGGTCAGCCTTCTGGTACCTCCCCCTGCTCTGGAAGCTTGGAGAAGCTTATAGAAGTCAGCAGGCAGTGTGGCAGGCTCGGCCATAAATATAACAGGGCCTGGCCAGCAGGGAAGTCGGGTGAAAGATGGATGGTTGAAGTGCTGCTCTGTAGCCTGTGAGGGAGCCCCAGAGAAGAGGGTTCTGCCTCCGGGCTGGAGGTTGGAGAAAGGAGGAAAGCTGAAAGAGGGGGCTCCACTGCCCTGCAGTCCACTGGGGAAGGACAACCTGCATAGCCGAGAAAAGAATCAGCCCAGCGGAAGGCCTGAAAGCAGTTCTATCCATAGCTGCAGGACCAGGACAGTGTGAGTACCTCTACACCCCCAGAGCCTATAAGGGAGAAGTTTGCTGGATGTGAGTTTTCGGCAAGTCTTCAGGGAACAGTATAATACTTACCCAGTCCCCTCCCTTGGGATCAGATACCGTGACCAGGTGGGCTGGTATTTTTCTTTCAATAGCCCCTACAAGTTGGGACTTTGCTAAGGGGAACACCAGACTCCAAGTAGGGGATCTCTTTTTCTAAAGACTGTTATTGTTCCGGAGAGCATACAGTTGAATGCTTGTTGCTACCATATACCAGAGAAGGAAGTTGTCTTCATTGTTGTTGTTCTTCAAGTCAAATTAGGCATCCCATAATCTCTTTTCCCTATCCAAGTTGAAACCCCTAATAAATACAAAAAAACAAGCCCATGGACTGTTTCTTTGTGTCTGGATACCAGTTGAAAAATGCATGTTGCCTGGCTGTGCAGTAAAAAGGGGGACCCAAAAACAAGCAGCTCTCAAGGGAGTAGTGCTACATTTGTATCAGTAATTATAGTATCTACTGAATATTCCTCTACTCACCTATGTAACTGACCTTAGACTATTCGACCAAATGTTTGCAAAGGCAATGTGTTGATATTCAGAATGGCAATGTTTGTCATGAATTATTTTAAAGCCTTCAATAAAACCTT